TTCAGTTACTAGCGTAGATATATTTACAAAATTGAAATATAAGAATATTAATGATGCTGGATTCTGAAATGAAACTATTCATGTACTTTAATTCGATGAGAAGATAAAGTCTATGAAACTAAAATGAGAATAAGAACTTCTTATAAAAAACACCTTAAAAATGTGTCAAGAGATGAAAGATTTAGTCTTAATGACCACTGAAGGTTTCTATCAAATTGTAGTATATCAAAGAGACTTCAGAAAGTTTTGGAATTTATTTTGAAATATGAGAAAGATATATCTTGTGTTTCCTGAAAGTTATTCCTAAATCATTTCGGAGTGTCATAGCTCCAAGATAGTCATCTAGCATCACACGATCAGTTCAAATCGAACAAAGCGACAAATTACAAATGTTAGAGGATACATTCTTCGAGTTTTCATATGTAGCGGACAGTTGAAAAAACTAGAATAAACATCGCCCGAATCCCACTGCAGGTACACTGTTAGGAGGCGCCTAATGTGGTGCCTTCTGCAGGGACACGCGTTTGACTTTCGTGTGTGCATCGCACTGTTTAGTTCAAAATAATTCATCTCATCCGTGTTTACTTAAACAGAGATGATTTCAACGTCAAAATTTCATTTTCAGTTTCTTCCTGTGAATATTGACAAGTTAATGTCAGTCCTCCCGACACTTTTTTGATGCAATGGAAACTGAAATAAAGTTAATGATTATTGCCGAACATTTTATCCTAATATTACAAAAAGTAGACACACGTGACATTATTTCATATCATTGTTAAACTCATAGCTATTTTTTTTCAGGTTAAGTTTTCATTAGAACTATATTATACGGACTATTATGAACCTTGCTAACTGCATTATTTCATCCAATGCGTGAGCTGAATTTCCAGGAAATCAGTAATCCAGAAAATCAAAATATGCACAGTGTAACACTAGATAAACATCAGAACAAGCACATGATCGAGTGGTGCTGTGGCAAAGCTTTCATGTAATCGTACGGGTTCGATTTCCCGATCTAAGTGGAATGACAAAGGGGTCATCGAGTTGCTTTCTTTATGTGTTCCTGTATCATACTTCAGTCTACTCGGTACTCGTGTTCTTTCCTTCTAGCCAACACCAGTAACTTTGCCAATATTATTTTTTCACTAAAGATATCTTACCTTTTTTCTGTTGGTGTTGGAACATTATGTTTCGAAGACTGTATTGGCCAAAACGCGATAGGTGCCGGTTCCACTTTAGATAGGTTGAGCTCATTCTTACGGTTAGGGCCTCGACCAAGGACAGACTGCAGCACTGTAACACAGTATCAACATTAAAATCAGGACGCAGTTATCTCTTACTAAATCTCAACAGAATATCTAATCCTAGCAGATGTCAAATTTTATTACGGTAAAGGATATTCAAGAAAATGTTGAAATTCTTTACATTTTCATCACATGTTAGGTTCTGTATATACGTTCTAAAAGCCTTATTAAAAGTCACCTTTGTGATCACATATCATAAATGCATAAGGTAGTGTTGCCATTTGTCAAACATATTGAGAGCTCTTTTGATTTGTCAAACGTTTTGAGAGCTCTTTTGATTTGTCAAACGTTTTGAGAGCTCTTTTGATTTGTCAAACGTATTGAGAGCTCTTTTGATTTGTCAAACGTTTTGAGAGCTCTTTTGATTTTGAGAGCTCTTTTGATTTGTCAAAAGTTTTGAGAGCTCTTTTGATTTATCAAACGTATTGAGAGCTCTTTTGATTTGTCAAACGTATTGAGAGCTCTTTTGAATTGTCAAACGTTTTGAGAGCTCTTTTGATTTATCAAACGTATTGAGAGCTCTTTTGATTTATCAAACGTATTGAGAGCTCTTTTGATTTGTCAAACGTTTTGAGAGCTCTTTTGATTTATCAAACGTTTTGAGAGCTCTTTTGATTTGTCAAAAGTTTTGAGAGCTCTTTTGATTTATCAAACGTATTGAGAGCTCTTTTGATTTATCAAACGTATTGAGAGCTCTTTTGATTTATCAAACGTATTGAGAGCTCTTTTGATTTATCAAACGTTTTGAGAGCTCTTTTGAGAGCGTATTGAGAGCTCTTTTGATTTATCAAACGTTTTGAGAGCTCTTTTGATTTGTCAGTTTTGAGAGCTCTTTTGATTTATCAAACGTATTGAGAGCTCTTTTGATTTATCAAACGTATTGAGAGCTCTTTTGATTTGTCAAACGTTTTGAGAGCTCTTTTGATTTATCAAACGTATTGAGAGCTCTTTTGATTTGTCAAACGTATTGAGAGCTCTTTTGATTTATCAAACGTTTTGAGAGCTCTTTTGATTTGTCAAAAGTTTTGAGAGCTCTTTTGATTTATCAAACGTATTGAGAGCTCTTTTGATTTGTCAAACGTTTTGAGAGCTCTTTTGATAACATATAAGAAAATAATACTATTTTAACACATAATATTTTACGTACATGACAGTGTAATATAACCTGGAACATTTTCCAGATTACAGTCAGAAATCGATTTTAATGTCATAATATGGACAATGACATTACGTCATCAATTGAAAATGGCAAAACAAAATGACTGTCTCCGTTTAATTTTGTTCTCGATATTTTTACTTCAAAACTTGTCAAAATGTAGCTTTTCTGTGTTGTGCGATAATACATATCTTTTTTTTTTGTTCCTTTGATACCAGATTGTAAGAAGCTCGTCTTGGATTTTAATTTGTCTTCCAAGACTCCTTTAATAAGATTTCTAATTAAATAAATACTCATTCAAGTTCCTATTTATCTACTCAAATCTAATACATTTGAAATGAAAGATAGAGAAAAGAAGTCACACAATCAAACGAAACAAAATGGTCTGATCTGGGTTCACTATACGCTACTTATTGAAATATTTGTATAGTTTTTGAATTCAGTATTTTGTAAAAAGTTTGATTTTATATTGCGTCAAACACCCAATACAATATCCATTTTCTAGACGTGAACATTACTCAAACTTGTTTTTCTTGTTATATCTGTACTGTAAATACCACACTGGAATTCTTTAACAGAGAAACTTTTAACTCTTTCAATAGAAAATTTAATTGAAATAAAAAAACGAAATACAATAGTTAACAATTTGTATGAACGAATTATTTAATATTAACGTAGCTTTACTTACCAGTTAACAAAATTAAAACCGAGTGTGCTTGGATGGCTTTCATACCGTCAGTGTAACAGATTCTTCATAAATAGACGTCCCTACGGCTTGCTGCGGGTCTATTGATCGAGTACATCACACAAAACCCTACGTCTTTCACCTCTGTACGAGATACCGATTACTGTAAACTATACCAGGTTGCTGTTTGTTTTTCCTATCACAAAGGCAGTGTGATTTGTCCTCATTGGAGACAAAGCCGTATTGTTCGTATTTAAGATTGCCGATGTTGTCTCGTTAAAGTGCTGATGCTAATAAAAACACTGTTGATCCAAAAATGTCCAATAACTGATATATTCTATTGTTAATGTGTTGTGTATTTGGTAGATTAACATCCTAGACTTAAATAAGCATTTCAAATTTACCCATTGTGTCGTTACTTCATCCTCATGACTACTTCCCGACAACGGACAGTGTACTTATAATGTATATAACCAACATGTTATATAGAAAACGATCAAATAAGATAAGAACGCATTATCGCGAATGGAACACTTCGATAAGGTTTATGGTAATCTGGAAAGATTTATTTTTTTAGATAAAAGTTCACTACAAGTTTATTTCCTTGAGTTTTTTTAATTTATCGGAATTAAAAAGAATACACATTAATCACATATACAGCGCAAAATGCATACTGAATGTATCTCATTAATTATATATACAATACAGAATTTAACAGTATATGATGCTGAGATGTATGCTAAGGATTGCAATGATAAAATAACACCACCTGTACTTTAACCAAGACGGAAGTCAAATCGTGCATCTGAAGAAGATAGTGTTCAGTACAAATCTCTGAAAACAGTTTGATTACAGATGAGATCAATTTGTATAGACAAACTATCAGCCTTATACCTCTATAATTATTTTGGTATTAAGGCCCTCTTTATGAATAGGTACAATAATTGTTGACGTCGCGCCAGCAGGAAAGCCAGCAGATTATAAAACATTAAAATAAAAAGCCATTACTATGAAGTGTGATCTTTAAAGACTCTCTTTCGTCGAGATATCTAAACTACTTAAACATCAATAAGTTATTTACGTTTGAATATTTTTACACGTACGGTATTCGTGAATAGTTTTGATTTGTTGAAATTACATTTGGTTAACGTTTGAATCAAAAAGCAAGTTTTGCAACCAACATGAGGGTGTTTTATGAAACTTCGTATGATGGTACATTAAATGACTTTGTCTTTAAGGCATGGAAAGAAGAATTTTAAAAATATTGTCGAATAAAAGCCAATGTCACGTTTTTAATGTATGTAAATTGAGGTTTACTCTTGTCAAACATAAATGGGGCGTATCAACATACGTCTGAAAAAAAAATCAGTAAACAAAACTGATCTGGTAAGCAATATTTCGAATAAATGATATATAACGACTCTTAAAGTTAAACATAGTTGTGAACTCCGGTCATGAGATCTTCATTATCTATCAATGAAAACATAATATTATTATCAATTATATAGCTAATATATCACCCTTCTTAGACGTTCTGTCTTTTAACAATTAATGTATTATTGTGTGTTTTTCTTAATCATTTCAATAATTCGTACAGAAATCATAAGAACAGCTTTGTGTAATCTTTGTATCATAATGATATCCAACATTTCTGGAGCAAATATAACGAGAGAGAGAGTAGACAATGTGATTTCTGACTTGCACGGTCGCTTTAAGGAAGAGACAAACTTTGTTCCTTGAGCGTCCAAATTGTGGTATGTCCAATTTTACCAATCATGGTAAGTCGGATTTCCCAAATCGTGGTAAGTTTGATTTCACAACCATTCACTAATAGAAAACACTTCTGACAACTATATGTGACAAGAAAAAATATGTTTGTAATATCTTTATTACATCAAATATAAACAAACACTGGTATGGGAGAAGTATGTATATCACATCAAAATCACTGTATAGCATATTCATGGCAGTCTATTTTTGTTACTATGACAACTGGCAAATTTCGCAGATAAGTGAGCTGAAACCATGACAATTAACCACATTATGAATGTTCATAGTTCTACGATAGTGTATATCATATAGGATTAGTTGTGATAAACCAAAGTTAACATTTACCATTGTCACTACTCTGCACTCGGTTCTAACAAAATCATATCTTCCAATACATTTTCCATATTACAAATATATAAATTTCAAGTCAGTCATATGAAAAAAAAAGAGAAAAACTTAATTCATGAAAGCAGCTTAAATCAAATACATGGGTGATGCAAGTCACATGTACATTTCATAGCGTTATTTACTGTTGTTCTGTAATGTTGGACAAGAAATGCATTGCAAAGCCATTTATATTTTGTCTTTGGTTTATATTCTACCTCAATACATTTACAAAGGGTGATCGTTTGTTCACCAGATAAGCTCGAAAATATGAGTAAATGAACATCTTACAGTGTATTTATTGCAATTTTTATCAAATAATGGCACTCCACAAAATAAGGGATAACACAACTGATAAGCAGGTGAAATTTCACATCTCTTCTCCTTTTGGTTAACCAGGATTTCAACTAAAAATCAGACAAACAAAACAAATGATTTTTTCATTGTTATATAACACATAAATAGAACAGAAAACAAAAGCATTCAATTGTTGTGTTGGAAGTTACTAAAAATCTTCAAAATCGGGCAACGGGTAAGTTAGATAAACATTAAAAGGACACAGCACTACTATAAACCATGATACATCTGAGAACAGATACAGTACTGTACATAAACCAACACATGTGATATTAATGTTTTCACGCACACTTTCACACTAACTCTCAATCTTGTCACAGGTTACTGTATCCTCTGTTGAATAAAAGTTCAGCTAACAATGAACCGAAAAAGAAGGTAAATGCAGATATTTTTACGACAAAGTTATCTTTTGAGCTGTATGCAGATGAATATTACATAAAATGGTAAGTATGGTAATTGAGTGTGTATTTAACTTTGTAACTGGGGGTGGGGAAGGGTATGCAATATTTATAATACTGCATAATACATTGTACTAGGTCAAAACGATACAGTAATGATCTTGTCTGTGTGTATAGTTAGACAACCTTGTGTGCAAGCTATCTCATGATCTCTTGAGAATATTTGGTTCATATACACCATACCATTTTACTAGAAAGGTCTGATTACATTTCGGTGGTCATTAGACTACTTTGGGAATTGAACCCCTGAAGATTTACTTCAGATTCACACCACAGTATCACAACACCAAGGCTGGCCAACTTCTAATTAGACTTCAGTGGTTATTGGTGAAGGTTAAAGAATACCCTTGACCACTACCCAAATAGAAAATCTGTCTCAAAGATTGCAGGGATGGTTGTGTGTGTGTGTATCTTTGTAAGCCCCTACTCATTTCGTTTTTATCTAAACTGACATCAGGACAAAACTTTACTACAGCTTTTAACATGCACACACAAAAACAAATACTGGTCTTTATCAAGACAGTAGGACCAAAGCAGTGTTGTAATCAGCACACTCTATACATTTGTATCTGAAACCCTAAGACTCTATTCACAATTAAAACCAGCTATAAGAATACACTGTTGGCAATGTGTGCACTATGTATTGAGGTTCAAATGAACAAGGACATGCTTTGTTTTTCTTTTTTATGAGGCCAGATGGAGCAAATAACTATACAATACAAAAAAAAGACACAATGAAAATGTGATGAGGACTGTTGTTTGACTGAAGTCAGACGGTGGTTATGGACAGTTGTGTGAATATATGTTTGTACTGGTATGTGTTTGGGGACAGTCTGGAGGGTTTGACTCTAGTCAGACGGTGGTTATGGAAAGTTGTGTGAATATGTGTTTGTACTGGTATGTGTTTGGGGACAGTCTGGAGGGTTTGACTCTAGTCAGACGGTGGTTATGGACAGTTGTGTGAAGATGTGTTTGTACTGGTATGTGTTTAGGACAGACTGGAGGGTTTGACTGTTGAGAGACGGCGGCTATGGTAAGTTGTGTGAAGACATGTTTGTACTGTTATGTGTTTGGGGACAGTCTGGAGGGTTTGACTGAAGTCAGACGGTGGTTATGGACAGTTGTGTGAATATGTGTTTGTACTGGTATGTGTTTAGGACAGTCTGGAGGGTTTGACTCTAGTCAGACGGTGGTTATGGACAGTTGTGTGAATATGTGTTTGTACTGGTATGTGTTTAGGACAGACTGGAGGGTTTGACTCTAGTCAGACGGTGGTTATGGACAGTTGTGTGAAGATGTGTTTGTACTGGTATGTGTTTAGGACAGACTGGAGGGTTTGACTGTTGAGAGACGGCGGCTATGGTAAGTTGTGTGAAGACATGTTTGTACTGTTATGTGTTTGGGGACAGTCTGGAGGGTTTGACTGAAGTCAGACGGTGGTTATGGACAATTGTGTGAATATGTGTTTGTACTGGTATGTGTTTAGGACAGTCTGGAGGGTTTGACTCTAGTCAGACAGTGGTTATGGACAGTTGTGTGAATATGTGTTTGTACTGGTATGTGTTTAGGACAGACTGGAGGGTTTGACTCTAGTCAGACGGTGGTTATGGACAGTTGTGTGAATATGTGTTTGTACTGGTATGTGTTTAGGACAGTCTGGAGGGTTTGACTCTAGTCAGACGGTGGTTATGGACAGTTGTGTGAATATGTGTTTGTACTGTTATGTGTTTAGGACAGTCTGTAGGGTTTGACTCTAGTCAGACGGTGGTTATGGAAAGTTGTGTGAATATGTGTTTGTACTGGTATGTGTTTAGGACAGTCTGGAGGGTTTGACTCTAGTCAGACAGTGGTTATGGACAGTTGTGTGAATATGTGTTTGTACTGGTATGTGTTTAGGACAGACTGGAGGGTTTGACTGAAGTCAGACGGTGGTTATGGACAGTTGTGTGAATATGTGTTTGTACTGTTATGTGTTTAGGACAGTCTGTAGGGTTTGACTTTAGTCAGACGGTGGTTATGGACAGTTGTGTGAATATGTGTTTGTACTGGTATGTGTTTAGGACAGTCTGTAGGGTTTGACTCTAGTCAGACGGTGGTTATGGACAGTTGTGTGAAGACATGTTTGTACTGGTATGTGTTTAGGACAGACTGGAGGGTTTGACTGTTGAGAGACGGTGGCTATGGTAAGTTGTGTGAAGATGTGTTTGTACTGGTATGTGTTTAGGACAGACTGGAGGGTTTGACTGTTGAGAGACGGTGGCTATGGTAAGTTGTGTGAAGACATGTTTGTACTGTTATGTGTTTGGGGACAGTCTGGAGGGTTTGACTGAAGTCAGACGGTGGTTATGGACAGTTGTGTGAAGATGTGTTTGTACTGGTATGTGTTTAGGACAGTCTGGAGGGTTTGACTCTGGTCAGACAGTGGCTATGGACAGTTGTGTGAAGACGTTTGTACTGGTATGTGTTTGGGGACAGTCTGGAGGGTTTGAGTGCATACTGAGCTCTTGGTTTTAATCTCAATCATTCCATGTTTACAACAATACTGTAATATAACCCTGTTTTATACATTTTTTAAGGTTATAATAACCCTACAAAATCCATTACTTCAGAAATGTGCATTCAGTTTCTGGTTCAAATGTCTTTTTACATTTCTTTCCCTTAATGTCTCTGTTTTTCACTGTCCTCTCCATTTACTTCGTCTGAATCTTGAAAATGAATTATGATTTCTGAAAAATATCAATAATTTCATAGAGTTAAAACTCAATAAAACATTTTTATATTAACTTTCTGAAATAACTTGTGTCACAAATAAAAAAATTCTTACTTTTGAGAATGATTCTACAACTTCCAGTTTGAATTTGTTTACCAAACGATTCCTCTTTGATTGGTTTTTACTAGTTAAGTTTGAGAAGTTTTGCAGGATTTGCTTTATTTCTAGAATTTTGTAGGATTTACTATCTACTGTGTTACCTACGTTATCACTTCTACATCATCAATCGCCCATTGGTCATGTCCCTCCCCGTCATGCAAAGGTTGCCACCATCGAAACTGCACGCCCTTGACCTGAGCATCCTCGGGTAGATTATATGCTGCCCGTTTGGGATTAAGGTAGTCTTCTGGATCATGTCTTGCAAGGAGTTTCCAGTGTGTCCCCTGAAAAATAGATTCGATGAAATATAATGTCAGAAAATTATCTAATCATCCAAAATTATCCAGGATAGCAGTGAATCTTAGCCCCAGTCTGAAATTCAATCCTTTTAAACTTGAACAACAAAGTTTTCATTCCATGAGATGAAAAATGATATTACTTCATCAAGAAACATTCTACTTTTATCAATATATTAACAGAATACATTCCAAGGACAATTTCTCCATTTGTGTGAAATTTGATACAAATGCTGCACATCAATTTTGACTATGTATCTATTCTATAATTGGTAAGGTTAATTGATGTGACGTAGATTGAGGGAACACATTGAGGTGTAAGACATACCCTATCTGTAGTGTATTGTAATAACACTCCCCTGTACTGTACACCTTGGCCTGTCTTTACATTACAAGTGGTTGTTTGTTCTCGACAACCTATCTGTAGCACAAACATTATTTTGCTGAAAAAGAAACAAAAATTTGACAGTTGATGCAGAAATCATGTGAACTGATTGTGAAATATAAAAACTTTACATTAATGCTGTTCCATAGGATTATCAATATTGTGTACCTCTGTATTAATACTTTGCACAGCCTAAATCTTCATAATTTCATAAAATAAGAAATTTTAATGATTATTTCAAGGAGACATACAATTAGTTGATGTCTAAGTAAGAAGGAACTCAATTTTAATGATAGTTATCCTGAAATCTTCTAATTACAGAAAACCTGTGTAAATTGTTGCTGTATCATTTCCTACATAAATAACACAAAATTCAGTTTAAATATGTTGTATGTATACCTGGCCCTGCGGAGATCCATTTCCACCGTAACCATCTGTCTTAGACCACAGTCATTGAAGTAGAGCGTTTTCCCATGGGCATAGGGTAGTAGAGCTCCACAGCCAAAACCAATGCCCCCACCGGTGATGGTTTCCCAGTAAAAACTAAACACTCCTCCCTCAAATGAATCTGACATTTTTCTTATAAGATGTTGAGCAATTTTCTCACAGGAGTAACCTGAAACATGATAAATAATTTTCAATACAAGTAAAAAAAGATAAATGTATGACAGTTGTGTCCTGAAAATAATTGCTGAAATTTATTTTTCACTATTTTCTGATAAGTAACACTAAACAGAAATTACAAAAAATCTCACCTGTCAAACACCTTTCAAATTCTGTTTGTATCAGATAATCAAATAATTTGTGTGTTTAACTTTAAATTAACTTTTCTGTATATTTCAGTAACAAGAGACGTGGGTAATATTGGGCTGTTAGTTGTATAAAGCAGTCTCTGATTTTCTGTTGTTGTGATATTACATGTAGGTAGCTGTAATTATCTATTGATATCAAACAAATGGTACATCTACACGAACATTTCAGTAACTGGGTTTACCTGTGTAACCCTGATGACACACACAGGTGCCAAACAGACAGGCGCCCCTGCCACTACACATAGCAGGACACTTTTCCCCAATGTAGACATCATCTAGTGCCCAAGATGAGGCTGATGAATTCGTCGCTTCCTGTAGCCATCGGAATCTTGTCGCACTAGATAAAGAAATAACACAATCATTACGTGTATCTTACACAACATGGGCAACTCACTGGTATTTGTCTATCCAACATTTATTGGGTATGGATGATAGTGATGAAGTACAATTTTCTCTTACCCTATATAGGTACAGACACATTTTTACTGATGTGAGATCACCTTGTCTCACCCTGGGATAGAGATGAGGGGATTCCCATGTCAGGACAATGGTAAGACATCACACTGATAATTCACCAAATTCACGTCAACAATTCAACCACATCAATGATGCCAAACACTGGATCAACAAAATCACATACAAACGTATTTGTACAATGGGAGAGATGTACTCATGTGTGTACCCAATCCACATATGTGCACTCTCCAGTGTGTATGGACCAACCCAGGTTGTGTAACATGACTACTTAATCAAGAGAGAGATAGAGAAGGACAGAAAAAGACGGGAGATAGTGTTTGAATGATGACTCACCAATCAACTTACTTGCATGTACAGTGTTTTATATCCCAAGATCATACCCGAGAATGACTGGCAAATCATAGCCCAAAACAAACACAACTGACTGCAAAATAACCTCAAGAAGTATCCTACTCCTTATTGCCACATATAAGAGATCTTTTAGGTGGGAAAACAACAAAATTTAAGCCTCGTTTGCATAAAACTAACGAACAAGATACCAAAGGACCATAAGTGTAAAATGAAAAGTAACAATTACACAGAATTAGATGATGATTTACTAAATCGAAGCAAATTCCATTACATAAGGACTTAGTAAGGTCAGCAGGGTAAGACAAAAAGGTTGGCACTCAACCCTCGCGAGAGATGATTAATTTGCACTTGGCAAGACATAATTGTGTTTGTTAACGTAATCATCTTTCCTCTCATGTTGAGATCTACCTATCTCACCTCCAATGTCAGTTTAGAAGAAGATATAAGTGACATGTTTTATTTTATTAAGTAGATATATTTACATCATGCTACTCTTTTGACTGACAAATTATTTGAGTTCTTTAAATGAGGGATAACTTTTATTGGCAGAAGGTTCACTCAAATGCTCTCCTTAATTGCATTAGCATTCTACAAAGGGGCCTACATGGACCTACAGCAACCTTAATTTATAAATTTATATATGTATATATATATACAATAATTTATGTTCTTTGTTTTGATTTTTTTTCTTATTCTAAATCAATGAGTAGGGCACATCAGAAACCTCACCCTTGATGAATTTATAATTCATAAACTTCTTTAAAGAATAGCAAACAAAACCATCTTCAATCAAAATTTTTGCATAATTGTTTTAATTTTCTAACATGGCTCCTTCTGTAAACCCCAAGCGTTTGTGGTATCAACCACAACGGTTGGGGTTTACAAGGACCCCAACGGAAATAAGTGTATATTGTTACGCTTTTTGGGCTATCCTTGGATATATTTGTTTAACATATATCAGCTGTCTTTATTGTGATTTGATGTTCCAGTTTTGCATGTTTTATTTAAGTCAATTTTTCACCTTATGTACTATGTAACATGTGTTTTATTGATCATGCTTTGTATACATTTGTGCAAATCTTTCCTGAATAAATTTATTATTATATTATTTATTATTATTATAACTCTATATACCTTGAGTACACTGTATCAGGTAGATCAATAGTGATCCATGTCCAGGCAGGGTATCCCTCTGTGGAATATTCACTAGCCGAGTGATAGTGGCTCGGACGACAATCAGTCTGCATGCCATTTAAATCAGGTAGACACAAGGGTTGGACATATTCCCAGCGGTCAGTTGCTGGATTCTTGTTATAGAGCAGCTTGACCGGAGAGTGAGAATTACAAGCATCTGGTTGACCGCCACAGCCAACCACGATCTGTTTCAGGAAACAAAATCCTCCATTAATATGAAATTTATCCAATCAGCGCATCTTGTACGAAACCATAATGAATAAAGAGACTGGAAATGGAATAAAAATTGTGAAGTTGCTATTTATTGTAGTGATGATCATGGCCTTGAAAATATGAAATGATATTATCAAACTTAATCATTTCTAAAATTTTGTCAAAAATCTTATTATAAAGTGGATCGTGTGATGATTCTGAATGACAGGTATAAAAATAATGAACCAAAAACTCAATGATATCAATTCAGATGGTTACAAATGTAGCAAAACTATCCTGTGATTATGACACAGTTGAGATAGACAGGAGCCTGCTCACCTTGAATTGCAACATGTAGTTATATTGTACAATCATTTGGCTGGAGGTGAAGCTTCGGGTGCCCTTTCCTTCATCCCAGCTTATAGCGTGTCCAAAAGTCGTACACACATCCTCACGTATTTGACCATGTGGAGTGAACTCCCAAGGGGCATCACTCTGTATATTCACATCATCCATATCATCGAAGGAAACCTGTATCTCACTAGGGTTAATTTCAGTTCCACCTAAAAATGATGAAAAATTCTCTATATCTGAGATCTTGGTCTTTGTGTATGAGATTCCACATAAAAATGAATATATCACCTGTACTTTTAATACCCTGTGATAGGCCCAGAGAGTTAACATCTAATTGTATGACTTATGCAGATGGACGTAATTTGTACAAAGAAAACAAAATACAAAATGTATGATTCTTGTTGGTATTTCTACTAAAATGTTCAATATATATCGGTGGGCTTATTCCCGGGCACATGTTTATCGCCTGATTACGGTCATGCAAACATCTAGATAACTATTTAGTGACTAAGACACAGATGAATAGGGTTAACTTGTTTGTGCATTCTAGACATGATCAGAAATATTTCTAAGTCAGAAGTCACTGGGACTTTTTTACATCAATATTCTTAATGTTACACATTTCATATAATAAATGAATACCAATGACATTTGTAGTTCACAGAGAAATGTTTAAATATCCAGAATGTTATTCTCGTTCCTCAAAATGTCTCCGAACATTAATACATACATACCAATATAGACCTCGTCAATCTCCCATTGAGGGCCGTTCTGTGAATATCCCTCCGTCAATGGCTGCCACCACCGTACCTTTGTACTTTCAGTTCTTGCTCCTTGTGGCAGAAGGACGTAGTCCTTCTTTACATCCTGGTAACTGGCATAGTCAAGCACATGGAGAGTGTCCCAGTGTAAACCTACGATGATTATCAATGTTATCAGTAAGATTGTATTCTATGCCATAGCTAAAGATTTTTTCATCAAGGTAAAGGTCATTACTTTTGAGGGGTTCTGTTTTGCGATATTTTCGAAGGAGTAAAATAAAAAAAATATAAGTACCTTGAAAATATATATTAAAAAACAAAACAATTATAGTGAATTCTGTGACTTGGTACAATAAATGATCCCTAATATATCTTACTAGTGTGACTCAATACTTATATGGATTCCTTCAGCCTGATGTAACAACATGCTTTTAATTTCCTGTTTATGAATACTTCACAGATGTTTTCCTTTTTATGGTAGTATGAGAACACATACTATTATCTGTAGAGTACTGTAGTATGACACTGTGTTTGGAAGATGTAGGAGAAAAACATCCTGGTTCTGTGCCTGTTCCACCGATCACAGCATAGTACTGTATAAACCTGCACAACAAAATGCCATACATTAACTTTTGTCATCAAACGTATCATTCAAGTTATGGGTGATTTTTTTTTCTAGACTCATTTCAGTGAAATAAATATTTGTGACACTGGAGGACTTCAGATATAAAAAAATATGTGTATGATAGGAGCTCAAGAGAAGGAAGCAGTGTAATGATACTGTTTCAATGATTCTGATTCTTCAGCTGTAAAATGATACTGACTAAATCACATATCATTGTTTTGCTCGACAAACCTTCATCCCTTCAGTTGGGTAGATACAAATGCAATTCAATTCAATGGCTCACATGAATACAGATTTTATTTTTCTGTAACTACAATCGATTAAATCAAGTAATATTAAATAGTACTTTTAATATGTGGAAAAAATTATTTCAACATAAATTACCTGGCATTACGAAGGTCAAGGTCACCGGTGACAATTTGCCGATTACCAGGACCTGACATGACCATTGCTGAGTTTTCCACCAGACCGTGACAACCTGAACCCACATGACCGCCCTGCACTAGTGACCACTTGGTCTTGTCTACCTCTGATCCTTCAAAGTTATCCTTTAAGTAAGTCTGAAATCATCAAAGTTATCATTCAAGTAAGTCTGAAATTATCAAAGTTTTCATTCAAGTTGTCAAGTCTGAAAATAGCAAAGTTATCCTTCAAGTGAGTCTGAAAATAGCAAAGTTATCCTTCGAGTGAGTCTAAAAATAGCAAAGTTATCCTTCAAGTGAGTCTAAAAATAGCACAGTTATCCTGCTAATAATCAAGTCTGAAAATAGCAAAGTTATCCTCCAAGGCTGAATAGCAGAGATATTCTAAGAGGTGTTCAAGATTGCCACATATGTAGAATACATGGACATGCTATAACATAGTGAGTAGCTGCAGTATTGCAATAAACTGTAAATTCTTAGTTTGTTGTGTAGTATCATGAAATCACATTCTAATGAGCCTTAACAAAGTTATTAACATCTGCTTGTCCACCAGAATCTGGGTAGGTTCTTACATTACACTTACAGGATTACTAGTGAATAAGAGGCGGCTACAGTCAGTGCTCCCATACCCAAAATCACAGGAACATTGAGGAGTATGGCATGTACCTCGTCCACTACAGTGATTCTCACAAGGGGGTCCCACATACAGTCGTCTCAATCCCCACTTGTGGGTGTCTCCTTGATGGCCATCTGCCTTCTGGATCCATCGTAGACGGGTACCACTGGGAAAATCATACCAAAACAGCTCTTTTATGTCAAAAAGTATACATAGACCACCTGTTTCACACTTACTCATGCATATTATTGCAGACTAAATGAATAAATACAAAATACAACCAGGGAAGTAACTCTTGTACAAACCAAAAGACTTCTGTTGACTTGGAGGAATCTCTTTTTCGGTCAGAAGCATATTGATGCTTAAATGTTTTCCTTCTGTTATTTAAAATTTCACAGTGAGTCAGAGTCACACAAATGCTTTCCTGCTGCTACTAACCTACCTAAACACTAGCAGACCTTCAAGTTTCACAATGAGCCAGAGTCACACATATGCTTTCCTTCTGCTACTAACCTACCTAGACACTGGTAGACCTTCAAGCTTCACAGTGACTCTTCGCCACATCCCCATTGGCTCACTGAAGTAAATTGTGGACATCTGAGGTCCTCCATTACACTGGGGGTCATCAGGTAGACACTGATGTTTAAGGTGATGCCAATGAAGACCATTGTCTGAAGAGTACTGTAGGTGGACAGCAGGGCCACTGACATTCCACTCCTGGCCACAGCCTACGTTTATCTCAAACTAAACACAATAAAGTAGAATTTCTTCCATTAATATTATTTTGGCAATCATATTCTTACATTTGATTTGAGTTTTTTAATTGTTTTTTTTTTCTCCAATTGTTTTGCAAACATATATTTCTGACATACTTTTACATATAAAACTACATGGCTGTTTTAAAATCAAAAACAGCTTTGTTCAACTTACAAAGAATAATGTTAAATGCTATAGAGTATTACATACTAACAATGACTCATCCAACATAATACAAAAATATTCTGACACCTAAGATCTGTAACAGTACCTGCAACATGTAATTCTCATCAATATGAATGTCCTGAGTAGTCAACACCGAGTCTTCTTCCACTTGAGTAGTACCCTTGGCAACATGTAATTCCCCACAATAATTGTCGGCAACCATGTTGTCAGAGGCCAGCCAATCACTGTCATTCAGCTCATCAGAAAACTGCCCAATCATACTGCTAGGGTTAACCTTATGACCTCCTATCCTGATATTGTCGAGGACCCAATCTCCCACCTGTCGACCCCCGTGAGTTGGCTGCCACCATCGTATCCTCACTGCCCTCTGTTTAGCCCCCTCTGGTAAATCTGCATGGACAAACCTGTCAAATATTATAGGTTATGGATAATCTGATCCGAGTTAAATCTGATATACTCTTGCCTTTAGACATGATATCTACAGCAACATTTTCACTTTCTCTCTACTTATGACTTTTACCATCAACAAATTTTCAGTATTTACAAATACATATACCTAAAACAAAGATCTACATTATTCTAAAGAAACAAGATATCTTGCTAAAATCGCCTGTTTTAATGTCATCTTAGTAAATCAAGTTTTTCTAGAATGAAGTTCAGGTAAAAAAAAAAATCAAAGATTCTTCAAAACAAATTTAAGTGACCACAGCCCCTTAAAATGCCATCATATTCCAGGCAAAAAAATAGCCTTAAAAAGCATTGGCATTATATTAACAAATACATGAATGAATGGTATAAATAAACCAAGAAATAAGGGTAACTTGAAATACAATAAGAAATTAGATTTAACAAGCAGCATAACATGATGAGCAGATTTTCTATTTCTTGTTAAAAAGCCTGTTTAAATCAAAGGGATTATTTAGTTCTTAAAGAATTTTTTTTTGTCATGTGTACAGTCTATTGTCATCATCACCTTGGTGATTTGTACAAAGCGTAGTATAGTTCTGTGACGGGTGTCCAGGTGGAGCCACCATCAGTGGAGTAATCTACAAGTACTCCTTGGTTACGTGTGACTGGGGCAGCATTACATCCAAACATAAAGTAGAACTGGATCATTGTCGCATTCGAGAGGTCAAGGTCGTGGCTGATCAGTAATCGACTGCAACCCTGACAATAAAAGTTCAATGAAGGAAACCATTCTGAATATTCTGATATTTTATCATTAAAAGTAAATCAAACACTACATAACAACCTTTGTACATTAATGTGCATTGAAATCAACCATGAGGAAAATTAACCAACTTGTTTAATCATTATTCTTTCTTCATGTCATAACATGGCAAGACATAACATGGAAAAATATCCCAAATGAACAACAGTTCAAACAATAACTTAATACTCTCCTAGCAAATGTTTTTTAAGGTCTCACTCAAGTTGATCTTGAAAATCAGTATTGGGGTCAGTTCAATCTAGCATGCAATTTTTCTGGTTTTGGCAAAAAAGCTTGAAAAACATTTGTGGTTATTTAGATTATTTGTTCACTAAGGTCGCTTTCATGTCTTTATAAAAGGTTGAAATGTTGAACCAGCTGAGCCTGCAAGAGACATCCCTGGCACAGATTGGGACTGAGGCTGGATTCTCAAGTATTTGGCACATGTGATTTCAAGGGGCCAGCTTTATTCCTGTCTGAAACTAAGGGGCTGAACACCAGTAGTTTTTAGAATTTCTGCATGAAATAGGGTCAGTGCACACACACATTTCTGAGTTGCTATGGTATTCAGTTTGAAAAAAGATAGAACACATCTTATCATTGGTTCTTTATTGTATGATTGAAGTGAACTTCCGATACTTTGAGTATTTTGAACTTTATATATAACATTGCCAACATTCGAAACAGATGCATCTGTTCACCATGGAATAAATTTGTGCCACTTGCTATGCTAAGCCACATTATGCTAAAGCAGCCTATGTTTTACACACAGTATATTCTTTTCACTTACACCTACCTCCATGAAATGCAATGTGTTACCAGAAGCCAAGACTTCACAACCTTCAGTGACCTTTGCCCCCACAACCTTAGACCACAGGGTATTGTCTATTCCATTGGAAAATGTATCATACAGATGTGTAGGAAGGGCCCTAACTGGTACACTGCACTCAAAACCTGACCAACCATCATCACACCTGAAGTAAACACAACTTTGTTGTAGATGAGAGCTGGAAACACCGATACTAAGTAATAACAAATAGGTGAAGCATTTATACTTTAATATGAAATTTTTTGATTAAGTAGATCAATGAAAAAAATTAAGGATATTGATTCAAACATCATAGGAAACATATTTGCTGACAGTTCAGGATAAATGGTGAACATCACATCTGTAAGACTCACAGACAGCCAGAGTTGGAACAGCGGCCATGACCTCCGCACATTCTGGAGCAGTCTTTTCCTATATACAGGTATGACACAGCCCACGACTGTTTGCCTGATGTCCATCCATTCTGTACCCACATCAATCTAGTTGATTTAGATCTGTCACAAACATAAAACTATGTTCATTACTTTTTGGGGGTGGGGGGGGGGGATTTTTTAAATCCGAAAGCTCTATTTATTACAAAACAGAAAAAATTGGAATCAAAATATTTTAATGTTAAAGCTAGACTGATTGTTCTGATGTAGTACACAATACTGATGACATCACAATTCTGGTGTTATACACAACAGTGATGACATCACTATTCTGGTGTTATACACAACAGTGATGACATCACTATCATGGTGTTACACACACTACTTATGACATCACTCTTCAAGTGTAATAAACTGTACTGATTACATCATTACAATGTTCCTTTAAAACAGTGTCAGTCATTACATCAATCTACAGAGAGTGCTGGCATTCTAAATTACATTATTTCTCAAAAATATTAATAATATTACAACAAAAACAAACTATTAGGAAAAAAGCCTGAATCATTACAAATCAACACCTTTCCCTATCCAGAGTATTGTCTTGTCATCATACACTGACATATCTGATAAAATATCACATTTTTTCCAAATATAATTTCATCTCTAGAAGGACTTGCATCATCTTTTGCTGTTTTTTTCTTAGAAAAAAGAAACATTTTGTAATCAATCGATGAAATTGATATACATCAGCTCCCATTCACTTTACCTTGTATAGTGAGGCATGGGTATGGTGACCCTGTTCCAGCCTGTGTGGACATCGGACACCAGTGAACTACCAGGGTCGAAACGTCCACAGTCAATATCCGACGGGAGGCAGGGTTCCTGTAGGAGCTTCCAACTGTTGCCCATGTCATGTGAATACTGTATCCTGATATCTAGACAAGGGACATCAGACAGTTATTGAGGCATGTCAGCACGGGTTCAAAACAGACAAAGGACATCAGACAATTATTGAGGCATGTCAGCACGGGTTCAAAACAGACAAGGGACATCAGACAATTATTGAGGCATGTCAGCACGGGTTCAAAACAGACAAGGGACATCAGACAGTTATTGAGGCATGTCAGCACGGGTTCAAAACAGACAAGGGACATCAGACAGTTATTGAGGCATGTCAGCACGGGTTCAAAACAGACAAGGGACATCAGACAGTTATTGAGGCATGTCAGCACGGGTTCAAAACAGACAAGGGACATCAGACAGTTATTGAGGCATGTCAGCACGGGTTCAAAATAGACAAGGGACATCATACAGTTATTGAGGCATGTCAGCACGGGTTCAAAACAGACAAGGGACATCAGACAGTTATTGAGGCATGTCAGCACGGGTTCAAAACAGACAAGGGACATCAGACAGTTATTGAGGCATGTCAGCACGGGTTCAAAACAGACAAGGGACATCAGACAGTTATTGAGGCATGTCAGCACGGGTTCAAAACAGACAAGGGACATCAGACAGTTATTGAGGCATGTCAGCACGGGTTCAAAACAGAAATCCAGCTCAAATATGGTAAAGATGGCCATCAACAGGATCAGATTCCATTAGAGTCTTAGACAAAGATTTAACTGTTTGGAAAGAATATGAAAATTAAACCTATCATATTTTAAGCCTGATGATATACACTGATATTATGATGCTAATACATGTACCTACAAAGTTATGTCTACTTCCGAGTAAGGACAATATACCAAGTAGCCAGTCTGTAACGTTTTAATAAAGCTGTTAGTGGTTGCAGAATTGAATGAAAATATGTAAGTGGTCACAGAATTTAACTGAATTGTGTAAGAGGTCATAGAATTTAATCAAATTGTTCAAGGGATAGAAACTAATTGATTTGTGTAAATGGTTGACGAATTTGATAAAAATGAGTATGAAGTCATAACTGAATTGTAGAATTTAATGTATAAATGGTTATAATATTTAATTGCCTTGTGTAAATGGTCATAGCATTTAATTGATTGTGTGAAAGGAATTAAAATTTAAATTAATTGTGTGAGTTGTTGTAAAATTTAACTAATTAGTGTAAATTTGATGAAGTTGTAAATGTGATGGTAGAATTTAATTAATTTGTGAAAATGATTTAAGATTATGATTCTTATTTGCGTCATTCCTCACAATTATGCGTCACCAACCACTTTGAGAGGATGAGGACATTACAACACTTACTGTAACAGTCCTGTGATGGTGAACATCCCATGACAATATCAAACTGAATAAATGTTCCGTCTTCCACCATCACATCAGCAGAGGTGGCATACCGCATTGGTTCCTCACCTGTAACTCAACATGTATTCTCACTTATTAAATGAAACAAAATGGTTACATCTAGAGTAATATACATATGTATTTGTAATGATTGCTTTTGTTATTTTAAGATCAATGAGGAAATCTTTTGTTTTCATTTGTATTAAAGAGGAATCTACACTAATATTTTAACTAGCCATTCTGATGCATGATTACTTACCCTTAAAGTATTAATACTTACTCCAGAATTCAATTTCATAGTTACAGGCTGTCCAGCACTTCTTGACAAAAAATTAGGGCTAATTTTAGGGCTAAAATTACAAAAATTTAGGGCAAATTTAGGGCTAAAATTAGGAATTTTGTAACTAGAATAGGGAGTATAAAAGCATTAAACTGACTTACCTTTGCAAATTTGACAAAATAGAAACTAACATACAATGCCTTAATTGCAGGAAAGGTGTCTTCCAGGGTTTCAGTGTCCCAGCTGCTCTCGGCTGTGACCTTAAAATCACACCTCTGTCACTCAGTCACAACCAATAACAATCTGGGTACATAGATCCACTGGTCAACTGCCTTTCATTGTCTACCCTAAATTAGAACTACAGATTACATTAAAGTACATTTTAAGTATGAATTTAATGAAAACGTTTTCAGCAAACTGTAAGAAATATAAAAAAGTAGGAACTGAAGTGAAAAATTAGGGCTTTTTTTAGAAATTCCCTTTGAATTTTTCATTTTTTTAGGAATTTTAGCAAAACTGAAAAAAATTAGGATTTTTTAGGAATTTTATGGATGCTGGACAGCCTGTAGTTACTATACCTGGAACAACTGAAGTCAGGTTACACTCAAATTGGGTGAATTTACACTCACCATGGAAGTGAATTACTTACTATAGAAGTGAATTTACACTTACCCTGGAGGTCAAGTTACACTTACAGTGGAAATTAATTTACATTTTCTCTGAAGGTTAATTAACACTCACCATGGAAGTGAATTGTCTCTGCTATAGACCCACATGCATGCTCTATTTCTCCTCCGGGGTACATGAGCCAACTTGTCTCCCGAGGGGTCATTGGGTCATCTAGGAGAGGCTGCATCCCTTGAACATCTCCTCCAACATATATCTATACCCAAATAATGTGTAATGTGATTTCAAAAATTATGCAAAAAAGAATCCAGAAAAATGAATAAATATAAATTGAGTGCTTGCAATTAATTTGTGCAGCTTGATTTAAAAATTTAATGCTAAAAGAATGAAAACTATATACATGGTCATTTATGTACCAAATTAACGGCCATGACCTTGACAAAATCCACCCCTTACCTGGTCTATGGCCCAATCCTGGGTAAAGGTGCCATCCAGTGATGGCTGCCACCATCTTAGATGTGTGGAGTTGGTTCGAGCCTTCTCTGGCAGATGTAGAGCATAGTATTTCGGCCTGTTACTGTGTTGGTTAAAATCAAACTGTTCAATAGACTGCCAAGATACCCCACCATTGATACTGGATTGGAGGTATACTGGCATAGTGTCATCTGTCAGAGGGACTGCTTCACAGCCAAGGCGCAGGAAAAACTGTATCGTACTGAAAAGAATCAACTCATTTTTAAAATTCATCAAATTTATCTTATTTCAGTATTATCATAATCATCATGAGATGGTGATTTGTAAGCCTGTTTTGTTTACTTGACATAAGTAGGTCAAGATCAAATCTACATGACATTGCTGTGGTTAAGGTCACACCTTTCTGACACTGCTAAGGTCAAGGTCAGAAGTACCTGAAATTGCTGACATCAAGGCTATACCTACTTGGCATTAAAAAGGTGACAGTTAACTTACCTGGCAATGCAGAAGTCAAAGTAACATTCAGCTGATATTACTAAGGTCATGCTAACATCTAACCAATAATGCTTATGTCAAGGTGACATATATATGCCATTGCTGAGGTCAAAGGCACACTTAACTAATATTGCCAAGGTCTAAGTAACAACTACCTGACATTGGTTGTTCAAAGTCTATCCTACCTGACATTGCTGAGGTAAAAGTCACACCTATCTGATATTGCTGAGGTAAAAGTCACACCAACCTGACATTGCTGAGGTAAAAGTCACACCTACCTGACATTGCTGAGGTAAAAGTCACACCTACCTGGCATTGCTTGTTCAGTCTATAAATTTCTGAGGTAAACGTTACACCTACCTGACATTGCTGAGGTAAAAGTTATACCTACCTGACATTGCTGAGGTAAAAGTTATACCTACCTGGCATTGGTTGTTCAAAGTCTATCCTACCTGACATTTCTGAGGTAAAAGTTACACCTACCTGACATTTCTGAGAAAAGGACATTGCTGAAAAAGTCACACCCTACCTGACATTGCTGAGGACATTGCTGAGGTAAAAGTCACACCTACCTGACATTGCTGAGGTAAAAGTCACACCTACCTGACATTGCTGAGGTAAAAGTTATACCTACCTGGCATCGGTTGTTCAAAGTCTATCCTACCTGACATTGCTGAGGTAAAAGTCACACCTACCTGACATTGCTGAGGTAAAAGTTATACCTACCTGACATTGCTGAGGTAAAAGTCACTGCTGAGGTAAAAGTCACACCTACCTGGCATTGCTGAGATAAAAAGTCACACCTACCTGACATTGGTTGTTCAAAGTCTATCCTACCTGACATTTCTGAGGTAAACGTTACACCTACCTGACATTGCTGAGGTATACGTTAGACCTTACCTGACATTGCTGAGGTAAAAGTCACACCTACCTGACATTGCTGAGGTAAAAGTTACACCTACCTGACATTGCTGAGGTAAAAGTTATACCTACCTGACATTGCTGAGGTAAAAGTCACACCTACCTGACATTGCTGAGGTAAAAGTCACACCTACCTGACATTGCTGAGGTAAAAGTCACACCTACCTGACATTGCTGAGGTAAAAGTCACACCTACCTGGCATTGCTGAGATAAAAAGTCACACCTACCTGACATTGGTTGTTCAAAGTCTATCCTACCTGACATTTCTGAGGTAAACGTTACACCTACCTGACATTGCTGAGGTAAAAGTTACACCTACCTGACATTGCTGAGGTAAAAGTCACACCTACCTGACATTGCTGAGGTAAAAGTTACACCTACCTGACATTGCTGAGGTAAAAGTTACACCTACCTGACATTTCTGAGGTAAAAGTTACACCTACCTGACATTTCTGAGGTAAAAGTTACACCTACCTGACATTGCTGAGGTAAAAGTTATACCTACCTGACATTGCTGAGGTAAAAGTCACACCTACCTGACATTGCTGAGGTTGCTGAGGTAAAAGTCACACCTACCTGACATTGCTGAGGTAAAAGTTACACCTACCTGACATTGCTGAGGTAAAAGTTACACCTACCTGACATTGCTGAGGTAAGAGTCACACCTACCTGACATTGCTGAGGTAAGAGTTACACCTACCTGACATTGCTGAGGTAAAAGTCACACCTACCTGACATTGATGAGGTAAGAGTTATACCTACCTGGCATTGCTGAGGTAAAGTCACACCTACCTGACATTGCTGACCACCTACCTGACATGTACCTCTATCACCTACCTGACATTGCTGAGTTACACCTAACATTGCTGCCACACCTGACATTGATGAGGCCACACTCATCACTGATGTGGCCACCACTGGACAGCCACCACTTGGTTTCATCTACTGGTTGATCTATACACATAAAGTCCAAGAACATTTTTTAGTATGCACTATATAAATATATCTGGACTATTTACAAGACCATATAGAAGTCAAAGGGTGAAAAGTATGGCTCACTAGAAATTACATTACAATTATCATAAAAATCCATTTAATGATACAAATTGTGTTTAAGATCAAGCATCATTACCAACTTAAGCATGAGGGTGTTAAAATGATTACCTCTACTACTGTTTGGAGAAGTTTGAGTGAGCATTGGAATCATCAAATACCACGTTTTTCTCTTTGAAAATTTATTTCTAATGAGAGAGCAGGTTTATATAAAGTACTTTTTATCATTTTATTATAAAAAAACATCTATTGACTATGCTACATATCAAATCTTACGGAAATAGTTTTAGTGATAATGGACTGACCATGCGGTATAGTGACACCTCCGTTCTGAGTAAATGTGAAGTCTGTTTGGGAAAAGTCATCTCGAAGATATTCAGGAAGCTGACTGGCTGGATGACAACTGTCACCTTGGTATCCTTGATCACAAGTACACATCATGGTGTTGGAACATTCTCCATGTCCCAAACAGTTGTCCATACAGGCCATACCAATGAACACATTATCAATGGCCCACTCAGGGCCATAGTCCTCATCTGGAATGAATCCCTGGTACCATCGGAATCTTAGTGACCTTGTAAAAACAAGAGCAACTTCTTTTATGATATTTTAAGCTCTTAGAGATGAAACTTTAATAAATAGCTGTAGACATGTGACATCTTCATCCCAAGAAAATACTAGAAATATTTACAAAGTCTACATATATGTATGATTTATCACTTTATCTATTTTTAGAATTATTTATACTCTATTCACAAAGAACAAAAATAAAATCAAAAAGTTCAAAATCATCCATAGCCAATTCAGCCATGTTTTCCAGCACTGACTCCAGTTGTATAACTATTTATGGCTTCTACGAAATATGTCTCAACTAACCCACACGTGTGAAGAGAATCAAGAGTGACAATAATACGACGCCAGGAGCTGGAGGTGCCACCATAGTAAACAGACGGGTGAAGGGTAACATCGAAACAGCGAGCAGACGACACTTCAGCACAGTTTGGCACCAGTAAATGCCAGGTTTTCCCTCCATTGGGTGAGTACTCAAGACGGACAGGGTATCTATCTGTAGACTCAGCTTCACAGCCAACATTGATCTGGAAATTAATTGAAGATCATTGTATAATTAGTACAAGTATTTCCTGACTTTCTATGAATTGAATATAAGTGTTTCTTTAGTGTAATATTCAAAGTTTTATAACACTGCATGGTACTGTTGTGAATCAGTAAGATCTGCTTGAGAACACCTTATGTTTAATTTAAATCCATTTAACTCCAGGATGAATATGATAAACATCATGCTTGATGGTTTTGTAGAAGTTATTCAATATCTAGATTTTTGGCAGTAATCATTGTTGAAGCTATTAAAATTTAAGTGTGCAAGTTTAATTTGGCCCAGAAATTATGGGACAGTTTGAAATTTGTTTGTTACAGTGGATTTTTTCTACAATAATAAATTCACCAGTACTCACATCAAACTGTAGGACAGACATTGGTCCAACATCCATGTCCCTAGTTAAAACATAGTGTTCTCCAGAATCTGGGCCACGTTTGAACACCAAAGCAGACTGTCCTGCAGAAACGGTGTCACTTCTGCATAAAAAATATCATCTCATATCTCAGGGCAGAGCAGACTGGAAATTATCTGATAATCACTTCTTCCTGGATATAGCAGCTTGTACAGTTTTAAAGAAATAGTGTTTAAGGCTTGTCATAATTTTTTTATACATAAGAAATTATTTCACATAATATTTACTGGAACACTTGTTTGTTAGGTGATGCTTTTAATTTTGGTAATGCACTCGATTTTCACTTAGGTATTGAATCACTTGCATGATCATTTGGGTTTTCCCCAGGTTCTCCAGTTACCTTCCACAGTAAGACTCCTTGTATGCTTCCAATTCAGGCAATTAGATTGATTAATGTAAATTAATATACACCAACAACATGCTTTATAATTGTTGTACATTGTAAAATAGATCAAGTTTATAACACTGCATTAAGTATGGTGAACAAGCTAAAATGAATTAAACAAGTGTGCACCTGGTTTTGTGTTGACAATAACTGCCAACCTCTCCATCATTGACAAACAGCCAAACATCGGAAAGAGGCTGTGAGTCAAAACTGTCTGTTAACGAGCTTGGGTTCATCATCATCCTGCCGATAAACAGATTATCTACAGCCCAGATAGATCTCATTGTACCTGAAACATATAAAACATTTTAAAGCTGTGAAATATTGTATGAACTTTATGTCAAAGAAAATGATCGCATAGGTAAGCTGTTGATTATAACTTCTAGTGTCCTTGTGAAAAATGAAAAATGTTTCTGATAATGCGTTTTTCAAAAAGCCACTGAAATGAAAACATTTTTAAAAGCTTCCAGTTTTCAATAAAGAGTAAATGATAACATAAGAAAACATCCATTCAGTGAAAACGAGAGAAAGCTTTTTTACCTCCATTTTTTGGCTGCCAGAATCGTATGCGAGTGGCATTGTTTCTTGCCTTGAAAGGCAGGTCAAGGCTGAAAAACCTACAACAGTAGAATATATAAAGTATCAGTGTTGTTTATTAATCAAACTATGTCGAACAACTAAAGTCTTATCCCACCTACAAACAGATTTTTTTCAGAAAATTTTTTTGTTTAAACAGCTAACAAGAGGCTGATGCGACCCATTCACCTGCACTGTTATCTAAAACCACTGACAAAATCAAAAGCTGTTTGTGTGTCATGGCAACATCTTAGATCTATAGTAAGATATAAGAACGATTTCAACAGTTCCAAACAAAAAAACTGACTGATTGCTAGGTTCATGGATGTAAAAGGAGAAGGTGTTTCATGCTAACTTTAAAGATGGTCAATTTGACATTGTTTACTTTGGAGTAGTTCTTTGATTCTTAAGACAAAAAATCACCATAAAGACAAAAAGATTACCGTAATTAAAGACAAAAACATACCATAATTAAGCATACTTTCTGTCTCCATGGTAACATGTGCTGATTATTCTAATTTTCTATTCCTCTTCAGAGAATAAGTGACCTTGTGTACATACCTGGCTCCTTGGTGACTATGATAGTGAATTTCCTTGAGGAGATTCCAGGTGATTCCACCATTGGTACTGTACTGGAGAAGGACACTCTCTGACCTTGGCCAATCCACCACCTCTCCATTACATCCAAATTTGAAGAAGAACTCTATGGTATTCAGCATACTGGTGTCAATATCACGACTCACTATCATTCTCAGATTTCCCTGTAGAAGTTACATTAATCAACAATATCTTTAGATTATCTTAACAAATTCTCTTCAAGTTGTTAAAAGATATTGAATAGAAGATCTATTATCACAATCAAAATTATGTGTAACATTTGGATGACTACATGGTCACCTTCATCAGACAAATGACCAGTTTGAGGACTATTTGCACCAATGTGTTTAGTGATTAGCTGCAGTACAATCTTATGTTGACTATGGTAGATCTATAAAAAGAAAGAAGAGTATCAACACCTGGTTTCCCAACTGATCTTCTATACATACATTAGGTGGTAACAATGCACTATTCCATGAATGTTGATTCTTTGTTTAAAACCTGGTTATAGATTATGGAAGCCCAGTCAAGGTGTGACAAAGTACAAAGTGGCAATTGTAACTGCCGGCAACTTAATTTATGACACAAGTGTTACAGATACCAAAAGAGTGAAACTAAGAAATAATTAAAACAATGGACACCTTGATATCACTTCCTGAAAACAGGACTTCTTTATTCAATTTGGTATATTTTCCTCAAGAAAAATCTAATTTTCTACTTCAGTGTCAGTCAGAATCCAATAGAGATATTCCACAGATAATATACTCAAAGATACAGATATTTTTGTAGGTGTTTTTTTATTAATTAAATGTGAATGTTGACAATTCTATAGAACACATAATAACTTACCAAAATTCTTCATCTGGAAATAGATGTTATGAGTGACTAATGATTCAGGAATGCTTACTTTATGGAATGTGAGAGATCGGCCGCTGACAAGTTTTCCACAAATGTCCAAATTTTCTCCTCCGTATATTTCTCTCCAGTTGTCAGTGTTAACATCACGACTGTTGAAGTCATCTCTCAGTATCATGGGAAGAGGGGTACTTGGTACACAATATGGACCTGAAAATCCTGGATCACATCTACAGAACATTCAAATAATTATTACAAATTAAAGCATGTTGTTAAGGTGCATTTCTCTGGGGTTTTCAGATAAGACATTTTAAAAGTCACTTTAAATATTACTTATAGCATGTTTTCACAATATATGTAAGTTTCCATTCACTTCAATCTAACTGACTGAAACCAAGCAGTGCTTTAAGATATTCACATAAATCTGAAGATTGCTGGATCTTATTTTAAAAGTTATAGACAAACAAGATAAAAAAAATTTAATCAAAGCATGGAATAGATGATGACTTTTTTAATGCATGGCATTAAAGTTTGTCTAAAACTCGAAAAATGTGTGTGTAACATGCATATCCCCACTGGATGTTTGGTAAAAAAAAAAAAAAAACATTTATCGTGAAATACTGTTATAATATCTAAAGATGACATCTGAGGTCAACACATTGTTTGTATCACACTAACACCAAGTACAAAATAGGTCAAAGTGATCTATAAATAGCACAGCAGTTAAGTACTTCTTCAGATGAACACACATGTTAAGTGTCAAGACTTCGTAATGTACAGTTCTAGAAAAACAAACAAAAAACCCTATTTCCTAATTTGAAGTTTTACCACAGAGAAAGCTTTGTTAAACAAGGTTTTAAATATAGGTCACAGTGACATACAAATAACACTGCAGTGAATCCATAGAAAAAGAATATATATATCTCTCCACTATAATGAAGGGGCAAAGCTAATCTTTAATCACACATGTACTTGCACAGCATGGCAATACTTATACAACATGGTGACACTTACACACAAGTTTTGTTTCTACAGTAGCCCTGACCAGAACACAGCCATGGACAACCGTCTCCAAGGTACACATTGTCTAATGCCCATACATTACCACGCTGGGACGAGGTGTGCTGCATCCATCGGAATCGAGTTGCTGGTGATCTAAACATACAACCATGCACAATGCTAAATATGAGCCCTAAACAACATACCCAGTCACTCCATACACCTAAAAATACAGAGATAGGGATCAACTCAAACGAGTCATTTTAACTTTCCTTCAATTTTAAAATTCAGAGACACCACAAATGGGTCTTTTAGACTTTCCACTTTGAATAACAATCATTTCATGTGAGGAATTTGTATAAGGAAATGTGCTTAAAATTTAATATTTCTTTAAGCTACAATAATTGAAAACAGAAGCATGAAAGATCAATAGTTCTATGGTCAGTTTTTGTGTAGATATTGTGTTAACTTCATATTAAGGTAATTAGGTATGAATATTAAGTGTAAATCACTGCACAGAAATGCAATATCATTTCTTTAGATTATTATAATAAGATCTGTGGTCAATCATTGACCATACATGGCCTTTGTAGCTGGAGACTTTGTGGTAAACGGATTGCAAATAGAATAACAAGTTCAGTTTTCTATCACTCACAGCTAGTCAAATTTTTCCTCACTTTTACCGAATATATGTTGTGTAAGGTATTCATGCCCACAAGACTTACACAGCACCCGGAGGTAGGTAAACAGATACTCTTGTCCAGTTGCGGTGCTGGTCAGAAACATACTCGCTGGACAAGTGATAGCCAGAGCACTCAAAGTTAGGTGGTGTACATTCCTCCACTACTGGCCGCCATGCCTGTCCCATATCTACCGAGTACTCCAGCTCTACGCTGTAGAGTGTACCGTAGATTGTCCCATACAGTGAGTCGCAGGCCATAGCAATGTCAAACTGCAGAAACATGGAGGGTGTCACACGGAAGTCGTGTGTTACAGCAAACCTCAGTCCTATGGAAAGAATTATAATCAGTGAATTAATGATCTTTCGTCACATGTGGCAGAAATTTTTGAAGGATACCTACAGGATAGATTGATGATTGATGATAATTTTCATGTGTCAAAATTTTTGTTTTCTTTTAAAATGACTGAATGATATTTTGAATGAATTAAAATTTCACATCCTGACTGTAAAGGACATCTTATTTTCACATGTCTCATTATTTCAGATTAGACTTTCGATGTCACGATAATATAGTGAGAAAGAAAGAAATTATCATGCTGACCAAAGTAACCTGCTATGCTGTACCAATGTTGTTCTGATGATGGCTGAAAAGTGACGACAAGTGCAGAACACGATAAACCATGGAATCTAGATGTTGATGGTCCATTCCCTTATTTATTATGTTTTACTGGATATGTAACGATTCAAAGTCATCCATGACAGGGCAATGCTTCAATTTGTGAGGGAAACTTTTCATTCTTTAATGAACCACGTGAGTTGCAAACTGACTCTTTAACATTGTTTTTTACCTTTATCTCGACTAAATTCCAGGGCATTTCCCTGAGAGTGACAAGTGATTCTAGGGATGGCACTTTCTGTCAGCATCCATTTCTGGGGGTCAGGGGTCATGGAATGGAAGTCATCATCAAAACCTTCAGAATTTGTCTCATTCACACCCACAATAACACTGTCCAGACCCCATTCAGCCCTTGGTAAACCTTGCAATGAAAATGGGTATAAACAATCAAATAAAAAACTGAACAAAATTTCAAAGTTGATGAATATAAGACAAATTCATGATGCATTACTGCTTTATAAATATTTGTCATACATTACTGGCAGTTAAACAAAAAGAAAGGTAGGTTATTTTTTGCAAATACACAATTTTCAAATTTCTCATGTTTTATATTTGAAAAATGTCCATGGAATAGAGCCCCTTTCAAAACAATACATGTAAAGACTCTTATCTTTACCTCCATAGCCCAAAGGCTGCCACCATTTAAAGATGGTGGCCTCTGTTTTGGCCTCTGGCGGCAGGGATATTGTGAGCATTTCTGTACTGCCGTTGTAGATACGAGGTTCAACAACCTTCAATGTGTGCCATGTGATCTCATTATCTGTGGAGTAGGCCACCACCACACCCTCGTTACGGCTGTTAGGCTGGTGACATTGTGGAGAACTACCATCACTTCCAATACGAATTGAAAACTGAAGCATTCTGTTAGTAAAATAAAAGCAGAAAAACCCTTTATACTTACTTAAACCATGTTATAGATGGAAAGAAGAAGTATCAATCACATGTTTGTATGTAAGATTTGTAAAATTCATCATTGCTTCAGCTTACATACTAAAACCTTAATTGGAGGAGAAGAATACCATGCTGACAAATATTGGGATAATAAATTTCCTACCTTAGAATGATAAAAGCTTTCACCTTACATTTATTATTCTTTTAGGCCTAGAAGGAAGTGTGCGAGGGTCTTACAGTGGGAGGAAACTGCAGTATACAGGCAAACCTATGTGTTTGGCAAATGTTCCCATACCTTTACACGTCTATTCCAGGGATTGAATCCTGGACACTAAGGTGGAAGGTGAGTACATTAACCACAGCATCATTCGCCCACCCTTAAAGCTTTATGCTGACATATGATTTGTTTCTTACCTCAATGAGCCTCAATAAGCAAGTACCATTATTGTATCTAGAGGTGATGTTTTAACTATAAACATTTTGCTGAGAGACAATAATTTTTAAAAGATTCAGTGTTGAGTAGTGACATTCTACACTGAAAATCTTATGATGAGAGGTAAAACTTTCTTACCTGAGGAAAGTAGTGTTGAGAGGTGCCGTTACAGCCTCTCGTGTACCTTCATCATTGAAGAACAAAGCATTCCCATAATCAACTACTCCACATCCCAGGCCGAGCTTTCCTCCCATAATCCTCCTCCAGATTTTTCGAGGTTTGTGATGGTTGTCAAACCAGTCCAGCAGACCATGAGGTGTCTCGCCAGGTGATCGGCAATCTGGCTCTGAAACAAAGAATTCAAATTAATATCTATTCTTTTCAATAGTTATCTTAATATCAATAGCACAGTATCCAGGAGTTATTTACAGGTAAAAATTATCACACAATTCTGACGTGATAAATCAGTCTGAAAGGCTTTCTCCCCATTAAAGCAGGGGAGATAAATCTTTAAAAGTTAATAAAAGAATACACAAACACAGGAAGTTTTCATACCCTGAGGGAGGTTATACACACAGATTTCAGAGGTGAAGGTAGCAGAGGTGGGTGTGTATCAAACACATAGAAATGGCAGTCAACCTACCCAGGAATCCTTCGTTACAAATACAGGTTGTACTATTAGTACACAGCCCCTCTCTGTGACAGTTCTCTGGGCAGGGCGGACCTATAGATACATCATTTAGAGCAAAACTGTGGGCATATCCTCCAGGCTGCCACCAGCGGAAGAGAACTGGACTGTAACAGACAGATAAAAGAAAAATAGCGTACTAAGAAATGAGGATATACATTGAAGTTATCTGTAACTATAAGTTATATAGTATATTCCTCTATGTACCTATTCTATCTGACAGGAATTTGTTCCTAAAATTCTGACACTGTACACAAAATATCACTTAATTCATATTACTGACATCAAAGACATAATTAACTTCAATAAACAAAGCTACAAGAATTAAAGTGGAATATATAACAAACTTGATTAAAAGTCGGATTGAAATTTTTCAATGTGAAAATAAGTAAAAATTTTAATCTCAAACATCCACATGTATTAGGGAACAAAACTGGGATAGACTGTTGAGTATGTTTGAGGGGAAAAAAACCCCATCAATATTATGTAGCATCACCATTAAAATAATATGGTGCCTATGATACATCTAATTATGTAATAAATACACAAATTTTAAAAAATCAACAATGAGAACCATTTTAATTGGCTAATGAGAAGGTGAAATGCTGTGTCTTTGGGGTAATAAGTATATGCCTGGTTATTAGCCCTGGCACATCTATGGAAGTTTCAGTAGAAATACAAACAAATGCAGTATTTCTATGTCTAATCCCACTGATTTACTACACAGGTTATTTGTTTGTTTCACCTATTGTAACTAGATACAAACTTACTGCATTGCAACTGCCTGTGTGATAGGTATGACAATGGTCTGCCAGTAACCATGGGGACCAGAGTAGTAGATTGTACCCTCAGTGTGTTCACTACAGTCCATCTCTTGGTAACATGGCTCAGAGAGAAGGCGCCAGTTCTGGCCACCGTCATGGCTATACTGTAACAGGACTGGGTGATCCAGACGGAAAAGGTTACTACAACCTACATTGATCTGGAAACAAGGACAGAACAGGTCACTACAGACTACAATGATCTAGAAACAAGGGCAGAACAGGTTACTACAGACTACAATGATCTAGAAACAAGGGCAGAACAGGTTACTACAGACTACAATGATCCAGAAACAAGTGCAGAACAGGTCACCACAGACTACAATGATCTAGAATCAAGGACAGAACATATCTATTTCAACTTATATGATCTGGTTTTATTTCTAGTCTGTCGTGTAAGAAAACAAAAACTTAAAATCAATTGAAGAGTAGTAAGGACTGACAAAAATAGCAATGAAAGAAGAAAACAAAACAGTTCCCCATTTCCAAAACAAAACTTACCCTAAACTGTACAATATCTCCTGTCTGAAGGTCAAGGTCCTTAGTGATGGCAAATTTATCATTCTCCTGATTGGCTAGAATGAGGGCAGGGTCACGTGCCTGGCAGTATTTCCCCAACACACCTTCCGTCACGGTTGACCACATATTCGAGTCCAGCACATCAAGATGATCCTGAACCAACCAAATGCAATGTTACAAACCTAGGCAGTCTCTATAACCAAGCAAAAGCCATGTTACAAGTTAACTCATACAAACTGACAATATAACCTTTAACTTCTTGTTGATTGTAATCTTCGGAAGTTGATTTATTTTTTCATAATATTTCAACATCAATACTTTGTCAAAGGATAAAAACATAGTTAAGTGAAGATGTCTTCTAAAGTTCATAGACCTGTATCATATCAGTGAGGGAAAAAAAGACACTTTGATCTGATAAGATTAAATGAAGAATCTTCCATTCTTTTATGATCATAGATTTTACAATTGGGGCTTCATCACACTATTTCCCGGGTAATAATCGTTAAATCATTTAATACTTAAGAAATAAAACCTTATTTTAGTGACACCTGATAAACATAGCACCTCACTTTAATGTTATCATTTGAAATATGAATTGATTGTAAAGTTCCAAGGAATAACTTCTTTTCTAAAACTCTGAATTTACATACAGTCTTCTGTGACTATCGGTAGATTGTTCAGTCCGTTTTGATGTTTATATATTTTTGTATATTTTTGAAACTGAACACCATTTTGTCATAAATCCAACCAATAAACATTGTGTAATATATTCACATTAAAGTTATCCTCCATCTTTGTCATGTGGTCATAACTACCAAGCATGATCTCGTCAATGGCCCATTGGTCCTTTCCTCCCCCAGAGTGTGAGCCTTGCCACCAGCGGAACTGGGTGTTGGGTGACCGTGCTTCGGGTGGTAATACAGTATGTACAAACCTGTGGTAACAAATTATGACTTGTAATCAGAATTAACAATTTAAACATTGATCGACAGCTAATATTTCATATTCTATCTAAGTGTCAGAAATTCAGTAATTTTTAGAAAATTAATCTAATGGAGCTCAGCCAAACATCACTATTGAAGACAGTTTATGAAATAAGTGTAGTTTAAACAATACAGACAACATAACTATAACAGCTATGTTACATACTTAGGATTTCTGTATTCTGCTGGCACTAGTTCCATCAACTGTTCCCAGGTAGTGCCCCCATTATTTGAGAACTGGAGAACCACCCCTTCCTGTCGTGTTTCGGACCCTGAACAATCAGGTAGGTCACCACCTATCCTGAGGTAGAACTGGAGATAATCACTCTCGCTTGTGTCAAAGTCTTTTGTTCGTAGCTCTCGAACACCATTCTGTTGACGGATAAGATGGATAACCACAAAGAGAGAATAAAGTTTTCATTTATACATGTATAGATTATAACTATCCTACAATAAGCCTCAGAAACCAACACAATAAACCCCCATTCAAAATATGAAGTGGGCTTATTACTGGATAATGACAAATCTTTGATTTATTGCTGTTGGTGCATGTGTATTACATGATAAATACACTGTATTTAAGATTTGGTTAAATAAATTAATACAGGTTTAAGTTCAATATGCAAAATCATTACAATTTTGACTGTTTAAACAGAAGGCGACATAAAACTGATATATCACATTTTACGTGTAAGTTCTAACATTTCTATTATGTACATGTAACCTTATAGCCAGTAACAAGCCTTACAATATCAATTACACTTTAGTAATAAAGTTACCAACAATAGCGATATTATTGTTCTTTATTAAGCCTGCTCCTTACTTTGAAGTAACATGTTGGCTCCCTCGACTTATTGTAGAAAAGTTCAATATGGTAGTTTGTGTTTTGAAATGATCTGTTTGATCTTATCATCTAGCTAAGCTTTTCATGATTAGTATTTGAAGTCAAGTATCATTAAACAGTGTGGAAATTTACAGAAAATAACAATACTTTACAGAACAGATAAAAGGCTTTAACACCACTTACTCCTGAGAAATAAAGAGACTCTCCTGACAAGAGAGTTCCACATCCTTTCCTGCCGTTTATCACCTCTCCTCCAAGGATGCTTGAAAAGTCACTGTCAGGCTCGTATCGTATTCCAAAGTCTGCCTGCATGGAAGATTGCCAAGCTTCCTTAGTATGACAGTCCTCCCCAAGGAAGCCTTCCTCGCACCTACAATATCAAAATGAGTATTATTCCCTCTATACTAAAGATCTTTCACAAACAATTTTCAAAGTTCTAATTAATTATCTTTCAGATGACATCTAAAAGAGGACCTTTTATGAGTATTAATCCATTGTCTACCTTTACTTCTATTCTGTGTGTCAGTGTACGAAGATTCCATTTATAGGCAGATACATCAAGCTCCTTTATGTCTAAAGATGTGATGTTTACCTACAGACTCCATCGGTACACTGACCATGTCCATTACACATGGCTGGACACTGCTGACCAATGTAAAGTCTGGACACTCCCCATGAATCTGTTGGGCTCCAGTCGGGCTGGCGCAGGCGGAATTTAGTCACTGGGCCCCTGACATAAAACAAAAAACTGAACTTTTTAAAAAAAAATGTGAAATACTGAATGAATAAGCCATGAAAAAGACTTTAATCCAAAGGTAAAACTGATTCTGGCCTGAATTATCTTACTGAAGCACAGTGACTCAATTGTGTGCTATTTGTGCACAGGAGAGATAGACAAAGTGCCAACTACATGCAGAGAATGACACATCAGAATCAAGTTCACCCGAAACTATTATTATTATCCATCGCTAGCTTTGGTTAAAGAAATGAAATACTGCTGATTTTCCTTATCTAGGAAAAATATGTGCTGACAAAAAACCGAAAGCCAACCTACCATGTGGCAGGAGGAAGTGGCACAGTGACTTGTGTCCAAGCTGTGTACTTAGAAGGTTTGTAAATTGTGCCCTCTGTGAAGACATCACAAGCTTTAGGGGGCAGACAGGGGGCAGTGACAAGCCCCCAACTAAGGCCATGATCTGCAGAGTACTCGAGGTAGAGGTCATTGTCAATGTCATCACTGTACATGATGTGGCAACCCATCACAAGGTCAAACTGGATGATATAAGATGGTCCCACATGCATCGATCTGGTCATCAAAAATCGCTGGTCTCCATCCTCACGTGGATCATAAAAACTTAAAATAACATTGATTTATACTTAAAACTTTCTATTTTCATACTAAAATGCTAAAAAACTACAAAATATATGGTAAAAGTAAATTTTGATAGAAATATTGCTACAGTAGGTTATTCATATAATTCTGAAATGTACTACAGATTAGATACTGAAAATGATTTATATTTCACATGGAATTTGTTTTCACAGAATACGCAGGGAGAGTCAATCTTGAATCCCTTGCGATTAAGTTTGAAAATAATTCTGGATGTTATCCACGTTGATACAGTTATTGATATCTTGTAGAGCCCAGTTCTCTTACAGCTCATAACTTGTGAATTTAAAGTCATTTAGATCAGCAGTAACCAAAAAATACATTCTAAAATATGTCTCAAGTATTAAGTTTGTATGATAAAGTTGATTGTATTAACAAAATCTAAGTGATTTACAGTTGTGATATATTTTTTATTGAATATAAAGTGAACATTATTTGCATACCATGTATTTAATATTTTTCAATGAAATCACATCACTTTTTTTTGTAATTAATGATAAAGTTATGTTACCTAATAAACAAATCAAACCTGATAGATCTCCTTTTATCACAGTAGCCGTCAGAGATTTTGCCAAAATTGGCTATGAGAGGCGTGGTGTCATTAGCAGCATCTTTCATCTCCATGGTGAGGGTATTAAACAGATGACTATTGAGACTCAGACTGTCGATGGCCCATACATCTCTTCCGTGTCCCGAGTGTTCTGGCTGCCACCAGCGGAACCGACAGCCTGTTCCTCGGGCTCCCTCTGGTAACATGACCATGTCTGACCTAACACAGGATATCAGTAAATAATTCTACTTGATAATTATTATGCAAGGCATGCTGTCAATTTGCACCAAAGTTTTATATAATTCTACATTATTCCTTCTATATATAAAATGTGCCAATAAATTTTGTACCTAAATCATTTAACATTTAATAATTTAAGGGACTTATGTCGGTGAACTGTTGGCAAAGAAATGAGAGACTTTGCGAAGGAAGGGAACTTACTTTTGGTGATCTGAAGTTAGAGGGATGAGAGACTTTGAGAAGGTAAAGGCTCACTTTTGGTGATCTGAAGTTGGAGGGATGAGAGACTTTGGAAAAGTAGGGAACTTACTTTGGCGAGCTGAAGTCAGTGGGACGGAACACTTTAAGAAGATGCCAGGAAATTCCTCCATTACAACTGTAGTCTAGCAGGACAGACTCTGATTCTCGGTCAGAGGGAGGACATTGGGATGTCACAGACTGACTCCCAACCCGGATATAGAACTGTAGGTATCTGTAATATATCAGTTTCTCTGTACTTCACAAGATATAACACTTATAAGATAGTCATAGTTGCCTTATATATAATACCAGTTGATGCAAAGGGCAGATCTGACATTACATGTGGCACCAACACTATCCTTCAAAAATTTGTTTTAGTGTCAACAATTATGTTCTCAAAAAGACTCTTTAAGAAAGTTTCTGAATGTAGTACATTTATCAATCTCAAAATTAATAGAACAATAAAACACATAATTTTCTGTTTTTTACATATTGCCCTGTTTTTAAATAGTCACAGGTGTTTGTGAAGCTTGATATGAATTGAAGTCCATGCCAGGATTATCATGATAAAGTTTGATTACACAAATAAATAAGTATGAGCTGTACATAGTGTGGGGTTTTCCTATCAAGCGTTTATTTGATATTACAACAGTGTAAAATTGGATTTATCATAAAGTCCCTAAGACGAAGAACAGCTATACACGGATATTGTCTGATGGAGTGTCTAGATCTGAGGCTGCAACCATGCAGACATTCTCCAGAACCCAAAGCTATGTTAAAACACAAACACTTTCCGTATTTTACATGATATCTAGTAACTGAAATATACAATTAAAAAAAAAAAGTGATGAAGAAAATTTTAGGAGCAATTAAAATCATGACATTGCAATAAGGCAGATAAATACTGGTGACCATCTACCTGATTGGTACGGTTTCTGGTTAATATTGAGCTCTTATGGATTAAAAAATATTTTTTATCTGTAGAAAAGACATTGAGATAAAATTGTGCTCCTATCCATCTAGCAAGGGAAATAACAACTCAAATATATGTAAGCTGAAAACATTTCATGGCAACTAAAATTCACATAAAATCACCTGTTCTGTGTTGTGTTAAACTCGGAGGTGATTATCTCCCTTGGACCATCTTGATTGAATACTAAGGCCTTCTCTGATGACAGAACTCCACATACATAACTAAGTTCTCCTCCTTTGACAGCTATAGAGCTGGAGGAGGAGAGAACAGCCTGGTCAGCAAAGTTTTCCATTAGCTCTGTGGGGTTTGGGACAACTGTCTCCTCACAAGTAGGTCCAGCATAGCCAAAGTCACATCTGGGAACAATTTTTGACAAATTACAGTGTATGTCTTAAGTCATCTCTATAAGTTTAACATATAAATTTCATTCACCAATCAGTGAAAATGGCAGTAGTTTCTTTGAAGCCTAGTATCAATAAAATAGTTTATAAATGAATTTTCATTTTAGATTTTCATAAAAGTAAAGTAATTTTACAGAACAAGCATTTTTAGATAAACAGACAGGGAGAATGTCTGTTGACTGAGGAGATCCCATTGGGATCTTGGCCTTCATCATTGTATGGTCTTTATCAATTTTGTTCTTTGTAAATTGGATCTTTCCCATCCTTTTCTCTTCTTTCCTCTTTTTTGTACCCAAATAATTATATAAAATTTGGTAATTCCTCTCAAGAAATAGTAAAAATAATCTTTAACTGTCAAACCCAAGATGGCCACCTGTCAGCCATTCTGTTTTTACCGATTTGGCTCAAAATCAAAAGACCACAACTAGAATTATTTCCCAGAATACTGATACATGTACTCACTTACACAACTAAGTATATTTGCACAATTTTGAGTAAAAGAGACTTTTCAAAGAATGAATTTATAAAGTCAACTGGTCTGTGTTTCAAATGTTTCAACCCCAAGTCTTACAGTCTAAAGTGTAATACAATGGTTTAATATGACAAAGTGTGGTAAATTAAAACTCACCTACATGTGCCATCTGTGCACATCCCATGGCCTTGACAACCCTCAGGACAGTCACCTATATACACTGCAGTAAGACAAAACTACTAATCAACACCTCTGCACTGATAGATGAATTAACACCAATTAAAGATAACGATATAAAAATGTACTTCTACCTGTTATCAAGTTTATTTCTTTGACAGCACGATGAATTTTGAATAATTTTATGTTTTTTCATTTCCTGTATTCCAATTTTGATATTTCATGTACACTTCTTAAATCAATATAGAAACATAAACCATATTGATCTTATTTAGGAACCCAGGAGGACAACATACATGTATACTTCAAAGTCAAGTGGTGAGCTTATAAATGAAATGAAATACCATTTTGTTTATAATGTTACTGAACAGCAATAGAACACATTTATCTAAAATATCCTTTCTGGGATCAGGTTATTGCTGGATAAATATGGTATATAAATGTTGTATAATTACTGTAAAGGTTTTGTTTTTGTATTTTTGATGGTTCAATTAATTATTTGCCAGAATTAATTAGCATGTAAACTGTAGGATAGACTTCAGCTTCATCTCTTTTCATTATTTTACTTTAAAAGTAATTATTATTTTTTTTGAGGATTTTATGTTATCCTGGGGGAAAGTTGATAATAGAACCCCACAAAATCCTACAATATAGTGAAGAGAACTTTACTAAGTCAATCGAAACTTCTTTACATGCATGTATGTATTATTTTCTTGCCAGAGAAGGCTGGACAATTATGGAACACTCTCTAACATAACTCAATATCTGCTGATCTGACATCTAATGGTTTGTACTTTAATCAAACTAATCTTGTCTTTGTCTCACCATTGTCGATAGCCCAGTTTGGAGCAGCTCCATCTAGTGTCTGAATCCAGCGAAACCTTACATGTGGTACCATGGCAGCATAAGGCACTGGCATCGTAACTTGCTTCCAGCTGAAGGACAAACAGCTATTGACCATCCAAACAAATCACTGATACATTTAAATGTGTTAGATTTGAGAATATGTATGATGATATCTTTAAATGGGAATCATAATAAAAACATCAATTTCGTTATTGATTGTACATGTGTTTTATACTTTCAGTAACAATTTTATGCTATCCCAATATTCATGGTCGATTTCCAGTGTCCAGCTTGGCCACTTTTTTGGTCAGGGAAACCCATCTCAAATTTAGTGCTGATAATAGCAAGCTATAGTTTAAAAGATGAGACAGTTCATTTTGTACCGATGAACACATGATAGTGGGCAGAAATGAGAGACAGTATTGACACAATAAGTAAAATCTTATTATTCAGCATCAGATTTTGTTATGGGTGTGGTAAATGTTATTTGATAACTCAGCGTCAAATTCAGAATTATAATTATATAAGTATATCATAAGAAATTGTTTTTTTGCTCCACATCTATATATAAACAAGGAATAGTCAAAAAGTTCTATAGACATAAGCACAACAATATGAAACACAACAATCTAAAATTTCATCAGTATTACTTTTTTCCAAAATACTCTGGACCAATTTTGATTGTACCTTGGGTAGTCATCTGAGGAGAATGTAGAGACAACAGGCTGATAGTTGCCTTGACAACTGCCCTGTAAACATGGTGTTTGGAGGTTATGCCAAGTCTGTCCCAAGTCTGTGGAATACTGCATAGCTACTCTGTTGACAAGAAATGCATAACAAATTATTGGTTTAAAGTAAGACAAATAAACTTACTGCAGGTTGTAGGTTAAAGGTCAAACTAATAACACCAAGTAGGAAACACTTTACATGTCATAGCCTAAAAGTCAGACAAATAACACATACATCTATTTAGATCTACAGTTGATTGGAAACTTATCTTTAATCAGAGGTCAAAGGCAAATAACATACCTATACTGTCAATAGGAAACATGTCTCAGGTCAGAGGTCAAAAGTCATGAAAATGACATAATTGTCTAGTGCCAATAGGAAAAACATCTCAGGTCAGAAGTCCAAATCAGGTATGTAATATGTATTTATACAATCATGGCTAAAACCATGTAGGACAGAAAGTTTTGTGCTCAGGAAAACAAAGGAATAATTAACAATTTGGACAAGAATCTCAACATAAGTCTAAGTTTAAAGATCAAAGAATTTGTCCTTTAAAGAAAAGGAACCAGTAAGGAATTGTGCATAACTACTCTGCTAAGAAGTTTAAAGGTCCTTTCATTCAATCAATTAGGTAAAAATGCTCTTACTAAATTACTTTGTCTTCTCATAAGTCAATGAGTTTAAAGGGCATATAATTATACACCCTCAGTCAGCAAATATACATATACAGCATACCCTCAGTCAGCATATACACATATACAACATACCCTCAGTCAGCAAATACACATATACAGCATACCCTCAGTCAGCAAATACACATATACAGCATACCCTCAGTCAGCAAATACACATATACAGCATACCCTCAGTCAGCAAATATACATATACAGCATACCCTCAGTCAGCAAATACACATATACAGCACACCCTCAGTCAGCATATACACATATACAGCAGACCCTCAGTCATCAAATATACATATACAACATACCCTCAATCAGCAAATCTACATATACAGCATACCCTCAGTCAGCAAATCTACATATATAGCATACCCTCAATCAGCAAATACACATATATAGCATACCCTCAGTCAGCAAATATACATATGAAAAGAGGAAGACAGATTGTGGTGACCATACAAGGCCCAGTTTGACAAAATACTAGTCAACTACTTGAAGTTGCATATTTGATAGTAGTGTACAAATTTCATTTCAATACGGAACAAAAGTTAAGGAATTATACATAAATCAAAAATGCACTAAAAAAGTACTAATTTGGGGTGAAACTGTACAGATTCTACCAAAAGGGCTTCATATACATACTTCAATATCTAACCAGTAAAAGTTAGGGACAATAAAAGAACCCTACCTGTTAGAGTTGGGACTTGTGGCACATCCCATATTGATACCAAATTGTACAATTTTGTCCCTGTTACGTCCAAGGCCTTGAGGAGTGACAGGAAACACTTGGACAGTGTCCATGGCCCATACATCCTGACCACCACCATTGTGGAACTTCTGGATCCAACAGAATCGAACTTCTTTCTGTCGTAGTGTTCCCTCCACTGGTACTGACACCAGCCTTGGTTCCTTAAGAGTAAGTAATGGATTATTATTAGTTAAAGAGACAAATCTTACCAAAGTCAATTTCCAGGACATATCATAATACAATTTTCCATATCGTAATCGAACATTCTTTCCAGGCAATTTTCAAATTGCAAATTTTATGATCATGAAAGTTTATCACTGTATTCAATTCTAAACTAAATTTACTGAATGGACAGCATCTCGTATCATGATGTCTATTTCTTAGAATTTATTAGACTTCTTGTCATGCTGTAATTGAGAAGCTTAGTTATCAGGTGTGGAAGAAAGTTGATATGTATACAGTAAACTTTGATATTACAAAATACTGTTCAAGAGTATTACCATTATAAGCAGAAAACCTTTCATTTAAACTTGTAGATATATATCAGCTTCTAGTGCATCAATAATGTATTGTTTTCCCACAAACCAAGTTGAAAATGCAATTTGTTTTTATTTTCAAAATCAAGGGGAATCCATCTTTAACCCAAGTTCCTCTGGCTATTGACATAAGCACACCGGTGTAGCATGGGCAAATGAACCAACGTCAAAATACCATAATGGTGAAACACTCCCCCAATAGTAAAGTGAAGCCATTTTATATTTTGTTTTCAATCAATGTTTCTGCATTTAATTTCTTATCACGTCGATTAATCAAGTTCCTCAAAACATAATAAAACTGAAAAATAACAAGGGTGTGGACATTTAGGGTGGAGCTGGGCCATGGTAAAGTGAAGCATTTCACTATTTTCTTACTAATTCTCTTTTTTTCACAAATGTTTTGGCAATTCATCCCGAATCAGTAATATAAACACATAAATAAAAAAAAATAAGACTGGGGTGAGGTAATTTAGGGTGGGGCAGGAGGGCTCACTTCACCATGCCCATGTCACTTCATCTGAAGAGAACTTCCCCTGCCTCACCCTAACTTTTCTCACCCCAGACATATTTATGTGTTTATATGATTAAATAAGTGTGAATTGCAAAATAAATTGGTGAAAAAAAGTTAATTGGTAAGAAAATGGTGTAGAGCTTCACTTTATCATGGCTATGATGAAGTGACCCCCACCTCCCCCAAGCCCCACCCTTAATATCTCAACCCCAGATATATATTTTTTTATTTATCTGTTTATATGATTGAATCAGTGTGAACTGAAGAAAAATGCTTCACTTTACCAAGGCAGTGGTGAAGTGAACCATTTCCTTTCCCTATCCTGTTTTTTTTTGTTTTATTATGTATTGAAGATCATAATTAAGAAAACTGATAAAACATTAAGTGAAGAAACAGCAATTAAAATCAAAATATAAAGTGGCTTCACTTTACCATGGGGAGTGGGGGTTCACTTTACCATGGGGAGTGGGGGTTCACTTTACCATGGTGAATGGGGATTCACTTTACCATGGGGAGTGGGGGTTCACTTTACCATGGGGAGTGGGGGTTTACCATGGGGAGTGGGGCTTCACTTTACCATGGGGAGTGGGGGTTCACTTTACCATGGGGAGTGGGGGTTTACCATGGGGAGTGGGGGTTTACTTTACCATGGGGAGTAGGGGTTCACTTTACCATGGGCTTCACTATCATACTACACCAGGAAGTTAAAGCAAGGATAAGTTTAAATACACATCATCCATTATTGACCACATAACCAACAGTTAAAATTTACAAACAAGATATTGAATGCTTTAGATTGAGTCAAATGTGATTTAAATTAATTTCAAAATTATGTAACTCAGATTACATTATCATAGCTTTCTATACATTTCCTAATATCCTGAAATATTTCCTATTTAAAACATTATAGGACACTGACTTCTGTGTAAGTTACGACTGTAAGCTAACTATGCAAGACATATGATAATCGGGTTTTTCCACCTCTATTATTATCCCCTGTGCAATAGTGACCCAAATATAACTCTAACAGACACGAAATGCTATAGTTTCAAAGCAGATTCTGAAAAGGACACATTATGGCTTGTCAGGTCCACAGGGGAAAGAACAAGATCATGGTATGTGTTAGTCAAAGTTGCAACTATGCTGTGTGTGAATCATGTATAGAAGAAGATCATACTGGACATACACTCCACTCGTTTGAGACAGAAGCCTCAAACATTAAGAGCAAACTACAAGCTTCAATGGAAAACCCAAGTTTTATCAAACTAGAAAAGGATGTCAAGGACCTCATGGAATTACATCAAACTGAAATAGATCAAGTTAATGCAGGAAAGGCAGAACTTCTGGCTAGACGAGATCAAATCAAACGATCGATTGATGATTTAACAGAAATTGCTGTGACAGAACTGGACAAGAAAAATGCTTACATGTTGAAGGAATTTGATCAAGCCAAGGAAACATCAATTTCACAAATTCAAGAAATCCAAACTTTTAGAGGAGAAGTGGAAAAATTAGAGAATTTGCCAAGCGATTTGGAAGTTGTGGAACATGGATTGAAGATGAAAGTTCCCCAAATAGAACAACTGGATTTCCCCAAAGCATCAAGATTTGCACTTGGTTCTTTCGGGGCTCTTAGTGAGACACTTTTCAGGAACATTACACAACATAAGCTGGAGTCTCCATCAACATTCAATTCAGAAAATGTCATTTCTATTCCTTTGTTGGGGAACAACAATGACAATTTTTCTGCGCTCGACAGTTTTGATACAGATGAACTGTTTTGGGATGGAGCAGAGGAAGCCATTGAAATCAACTCATGTGAAACTGATTCTACTGACTCAGAAACAAAACTTAAGTCTACAGAGAATCCTCAACGTCTCCAATATAATGTAAATCTGACCCACAAACATTCCTTCAAGCTTCCTCAAACTGTACGTGCCATGAAGCCAACGGCAGAAGGATACTGCTGGGTAAAATGTCACAATGACAACAAACCAAAACAAATGACCATGGGCGGTAGAATCAAGAAATACATACACTGCTGTTCACCAATTCTTGACATCACAGTGGTACCCGAGTCCAGCAAAGTCTTGGTAACTTCCACAACAGAAAATATCATCAGACAAGTACAAGATGGACAAGACTTATTTGAACCAATTGCATCTCCACTGATTGATATGGGGATGTTGAAACCTTGCTCCATCTGTGCAACACACAATGGGGACATCTTAGTTATGCTAACAAACAAACAATCCTGGCTGGTAGAACCTAACTCTACTACAGAATTGGTGAGGTACAACAAAGAGGGGAAGAAACTGGCACAGATTCAGAAAGACAGACACAATGAAGACTTGTTCTTTATTTCTGATGGGATAGCCATTGATAACAATAGCAGAACAGTGGTTGTTGTTAATGCAACGAACAGAAATCCAAATAGAAGCCATTTGGTGATGTTGGACGGCAAGTTCAATCTAAAACTACGGTATGTTTCTCACGGAGCTACGGTGGCTGCTGAAGAAAGGATGCCAGAACTGACAGAAAAATTCTGGATTACTAGTATGGCATTCAACCCACACAACCTTTTGCTCATTGCAGAGTTTTACTCTAAGACTGTGCAACTGTTAGATCTCTCTTGTAAGCCACTGAAAGTTTTGGTGACCGAGCACTGTGCTCCACCACGATCACTTGCTCTGCAATCTAACGGTGATGTGTGGGTGGGGCTGTTGGAAGGAACAATCCAAGTGTACAAACACACATGTGAATTCATATGTGATCAGTGACCCATCAAAGAAGGCCTATATCTAAGGCAGATAAGAAACTTGTTACTTGATAACTCATTACATTTCCTAGTAGAAAACTAATCACTGTATTGTGAATGTGGCCATGAACAGCTAGGCTCTATCAATATTCGGAGGATTTGCTGTACTGTATGTAATTTGTATCAAACTTTGTCATCACCATTCTGTAAGCTTTTTTGGCAGGATTTGAAGGGATCAATCATCTACCCATGACTGTTTACATCAAACAAGAGGCCCATGGGCCTTAACGGTCATCTGTCATAAATTACAAGAGTTCAAATTTTGAACTTGAGAAGAAGTCGAAAATGTGCTTTCAAGATGGCGGTCATGGCGGCCATGTTGGATTTTGGACCAACCCGAAATTAACAAACTTTGGTCAGGATCATGTCACAATCATTTCAGGTAAGTTTCAGCTCAATGAGATATGTAGAACTTAAGGAGAAGTTGAAAATATTTACGACAGATGCTAGACAACGCCGGACAAAAGGCAATTGCAATAGGTCATCAGATCCTTCAGTCAGATGACCTAAAAACTGTATCTTCAATTTTATACTTGTCAGTTGTTTGTAAAATCATTTATACTTATCCATGTCTAGTAATAGGCCTACCTATTTTTCTTATTGTGCAGAAGAACTTAACAACTTAAAGTATTTCAATGCCCTGTAAAAGCCCACTTTGAGTGCATGTATCCTAGTACCCACTTTTGAAATGTTGTTAGAAGGATTTCAGATGAGTTCACCTGTGATAGCCTGCATTAGAGGCTCATATCATATGGAATGAAATGATAAGAATTTTATTGAGAGCTTAACATACTATGTGCTGGACTGTATCATGTGATTGTCCCTGTGGTGTATATCAACATAGAAAGGCTTTTATTAACCAGTGTTACATATTACTGTAGCTATTGTGTAGGAAGAATGTAAAATTATAAGTAATGCGTTTTCAGAAATGAAATGTTTATTATGAAATGTAATATTATTGAATGTATGTAAAAGCAGTTTCTTGTATGACTGTATTGTGTTATTTTATCAATATAGAAGAAATACATAATGTAATTCAAAATGTCGGGTAATAGATCACACAGGTAAAAACACAGGTAAATGAACCCAAGTGAAGTACATTGAGGTATATCACTTTTAACTTTTTTCACTCATTTTTTTTCTTACCAGCCTTATTAATTCAAATAAACACTAAAATAACTATCTTGGGTGAGGTAATTTATGATAGGGCAAGGGGGTTCACTTCACCATGGCCATGATAAAGTGAAGCATTACACCATTTTCTATCTGGGGTGAGGTAATTTAGAGTGGGACAGA